CTAGGACTTCCTTCTTGACTGATTCCTGTTCCTTTTCCTCTAATGTAGTGACATTGGTTGTGACATCTGGTTAGACTTCTGTTTTTCAGACTCATGGTTCAGCCTTGTCTCCTGCCATCTGACCACTCTGTAGAATTTCTTCAAGAGTGTCAGTCCCAGGGTTCAGCATCCTGATTGATTTTGACATCTGCTCAAGTTGACCTTTTAACTGGCTGACCTCACTTTTGAGTGAGTCTATTGTTGCAAGATGTTCCTTCTTCTCAGCCTCCATCCTCTTGATGATTCTCTTATGCTTCTCCCCTAGTTGACATACTTCAGTGCTTTTGATGTACAATTGTTTGTATAGCGCTGCCAATTCATCAAGAGTTAACTTATCTTCATCAGACTCATTATCATCCATACGTGTACCAGTTAGAGCTATGACATGTCTTGCAGATTCTACTTCTGATCCACTTTCTGAGTCTTCATCAGACCAAGTGATCATAAGTCCTTTCTTCTTCCTTCTAAGATATGTGAGGCATTCGGTTTTAATGTGACCATAGCCCTCACATTCATAACACTTAAATCTTTTGCCTTGGTAGGACTTTTCATCAGACTTAGTTCTTCTGCCAATGTCAGATGAGATATTTTTGTCATTGGATTTTCCCTTCTGTTCCACTCTTTTCATGAATCTGTTGAATTGTCTCCCAAGCATAGCTACAACTTCTGAGAGTTTCTCATTTCTTTCATGATCTTCATCATTTGACTTATCTGCAGTGTTTAAGACAAGAGCTATGCTTTTGGGCTGTTTCTCCACAGTCTGATCACTCATCCCCATCTCAAATGTTTGGAGAGAACCTATGAGTTCATCCACCTTCATGTTGCATATGTCTTAAGCTTCTTTAATGGCAGTGACCTTCATGGTAAACTTTTTAGGTAAAGACCTGAGAATCTTCCTTACCAGCTTCTCTTCAGGCATCTTTTCTCCCAAGGCTCCTGAGGTGTTGGCTAGTTCAAGAATATTCATGTAGAACTCATGAGTAGTCTCATCCTCCTTCATTCTAAGATTTTCAAATTTAGTGGTCAACATTTGTAGTCTAGACATCTTAACTTTTGAGGTTCCCTCATGAGTAGTTTTGAGAGTGTCCCAAACCTCCTTAGCCAGTTCACAATGGTGAACAAGTCTGAAGATGTTTTTGTCTATACCATTGAAGAGTGCATTCAATGCTTTAGAGTTCCCAAGAGCTAAGGCCTCTTGCTCTTTGTTCCATTCCTCTTCAGGAATTAACACAGATACTCCATCCTTGTCAGTCTTCACAGGATGTTCCCATCCAGAGTTTGCAGCTCTCCATGCCTTGCTGTCTAAAGATTTTAAGAAGGCAATCATCCTCGATTTCTAATAGTCATAATTAGAGCCATCCAGAATTGGAGGTCTATTTGTGAGTCCTATGTCTTTATCCATAGTACCATAATTTATCTTCCCTAGATCTCATCCAGATATAACAGGCAGGGTGCCTGCTCTGATGCCAATTGAAATTCTGGCAAGCACACGATGGATGTTATCACAGATGTTATAACATCCAATGTAACACAGACTATTGGAATAATTAACAAGCTGTAAAGAGAAAGCAGTAAATAACACAATAATTGTTTACCCAGTTCAGTGTCAACAACACTTACATCTGGGGGCTGCCAAGCCAGGGAGGAAATTCACTCTTAGTAGAATTAATTCAGAGTCAAACAACCTAGTTTGCACTCCTCACTTAAAACCTACCCAATGACACTTCAGCCTAGAGACACTCTAGACCTGAGTGTTCCCACTCACTCCCCCTCAATCATACGACAGTGATACCCATATACAATTACAGAAAATTATGAAGATATACTTCAACCACACACCTTGGTACTGCTTCACAACTTTGATCAAGGGACATACACTCTTGCTTAAAAGCATTGAGTGACACAACAACTTAGAACCTACCTAACCAATGCAACATACAACTGCTTGGTGTACAAGTATTTCTAAGACACAGTTCACACGTGAAGAACAGAACTTCTTCACTCACAAGGACTCTTAGTATGCACTCTCTAATCTTCTATCAAGAGCTTCCCTTCTAGGATCGCTCCTTCTGTTATTTATAGCAGTAGTTAGTCCTTGGGCCTGGGTGCATAAATTAGGTTTAACCATAACAAAACCTTTCTTCAATAATATGCACGCTTGCCATTTAATTCAGGAGCATTTTGTTTCGCTTTAGGGCTTCCAAAACGTCTCCTGTCTTTCAGCTTGGGCTTCTAATAAGTTTCCTGATTTCTAGCTACCAGAAAAACTAATCTGCTCGTTGGATGTCATACGATCAGAGTCATGACATTTTGTATGACATTCAATTTAACTAACATTTAGCTAAGTTAACTTACCCTGCAAAATCCACATTATGTATGTAATAACACCAGTCATGACATACATACATACATACACTAATGTTTTGTCACAAAATGCAGCCAATCAAGAGTACTTACAACATGTATTCTAAATTAATGTATCACTTAGTTGGTATGCTTTAGTTTAACAAGTGTTTGAGTTAATGTATCAATTATGCATGTCAATTGTTAATGTTATTGTGAGTCAAAATAATACAATAATTATGGAATGCAATTGTTTGACAGTAAAAATAATTAAAGGCCACTGTGTTTAGTTAACTAGATGATATGGTGTATATGTTAATCATGAATTAATCATTTCCTTTGATGTACTACAATTTTTGGTATGATACGATTCACAAATACTTGTTGTTGTTTCTAGTCTGATAAAATTTATAAAATTACGGGTTAAAAAAATGGGAAAATGTATAAATATAAAAGTGATTTCACCACGGTTGTTTAATAATACTATTGTGATAGGTAGCGTACTACCTAAATTATAACCACCGTCACATGCCCGTTGTATAAACCAGCATACACACAATACACGCTACTTAACAACAGACGTGCAACTATCATTATATGTGTTTTGCAACCGTCATTATATGTGTTTTCCGCAGTAGTGCTTCTTGCCCTTGGTTAGTGTCAAAAGGATCAAGATGAAGCGAGGAAGGTTGTGTGGGAAGTCGTGAAGGACCTTGAGATGAAGCTAACATATTTATCAAAGATGTGAACTTGCTATCATAAATGTTAAAGAAATATGATGAATGCGTAAGTTGGTTTTCCCATGAGCTAGAGAAGGAAAAAGAAAGCCAATTATTGGCGGTGAAACAATTGGAAGGAACCAAGGGAAAATTGAAATCCCTTTTCACAAAGAAAACAATATTGTTGAAGCGACATAACTTCTTCGAAAGATAAAGTCTCAATCCATTGAAGATGTCCTTGTTATTTTTAAAGAGGCATTCAACACAATTCTATAGTATGCCACATTACTCAACCTGAATGCTTAATTGAAAATCGAGGGAGCTAGTGTGGGGAAATATATGGTGGATAGACAACTTATTTTGGATGATTATTGCTTTTGTGAAGTTTTGTAATATATATTTTTATTAGAATTTGATCATAGTCTAAATTTATGCATGTTGCTTTTAGTGTTTCTTTTCATATTGTGTTTGCATGAATTTTTCACGCCTATATACTGGTGAGGACATTCCTAGTAATGCATGTCCGTACTCGACCCCTTTCCCCTCTTTAAGAACTTAAGAAATAGTGGATTACTTTGTGGGGGTAGTTGATCTTGAGGATGACAAGTCGTTCGAGTGAGGTCTTTAAACCATCACAATGGTGTTTTGGGATTCACCTTTGTTTCCTTCGTGGTATAAGTAGTGCCTCATTTTTTCTTACATCTGGTAAGGTTTTAAAGCATACTCGTATTCATCATGAAGAGGAATTTTAAAGAAAACTAGAAAAAAATTATATATAAAATAGGTCAATAAACCTATGTATTAACTAAAACCGTAACTTTATAAAATGATAAATAATTGGATTTAATTGTTTGGATGGAATAAGTACGTGTTATCAATTATGGTTTTAGTTAATAAAATTGGATGGTAAATACTTGAATTTGATTATTTACCATACAACTTCATTAATTCAATTTTTAATACCTTTTAAAAAAATGTTTTTATAGAGAAAAATACATAAATATCGATCGTAAATACATCAAACATATATTTAATTTGAAAATTTTATTTAAACCAACTGAACCCCTTCCACTAAACTCTCATTCAATATGATTCTTTATTTATATCATTTTGGAAATTATATTTATTTCAAACTCGGTCGACACCTAATCTACAAAAACTCATTAAGGAAAAGACCTAATTGCATTGGGAAGTCAACTCGATCATTGGATCAAAATGAAAAGAGGTTTGATAAAATCTGTGTTCTAAGAAAGGTGTCTCGGAAATAAATGTTTTAAATCCAAATCTTATAACTCAAAGTATAAAAATCTAATAAAAACTTCATTTTCAATCGTCAACAAATATTGGTTCATTCTAGCATTTATGAAACAAATAGGTCTCCGAAAGACCATTTGGTATCACCTGTGAGAAAAAGTCTTCAAATAACATTCCTATAATTCAACTAAAACATTTACAAAGCAATAATAATTACTAAAAACTCACACAGACAATCATAAATATCAGGGTTTGAATTTTAATGATAACATCCAATCTAACAATATGGAAAAGTGGTAGAATTATTTTCTTATAGGTTATCTTACCCCGCTTATAAAAAATGAAATTATTTACTGATATTTTTACTAACTCTAGCAAACAATCTCAAAAATACATTTACAAATCCAAAATTCGAATATTCTAAAAGAGTCAAAAGTATAGATTTTCATTTATTTCTCTCCAGTCTTTGGGTTGGGCCCTTAAGTCAGAAGCAACACGGGCTTCACAAGCAAGCTGAACCATCCTGATGGTACCCGAAAACCCGACCCGTTTAGTTCTCATACAATAAATTCTGAAAGGTTACAACAAATTAGGGTTTCATATTTGCGGTTGAATCTTCTCTACTACCAGAAAATCAAATACACGATGATTTACGACGTTAACTCTCCTCTTTTCCGATCCTTTCTCAGCCAGAAGGGAGGTTCCTCCGATAAGAGGTTTGTCTTCTCTCTTATTATTAATTAGGGTTCATACACATGGTTCAATTTTAATAGAAAATGGTTTTTTTTCTCTCCTTGATTTTTCATTTTATGTTGTTGTCTTCATATGATTTTAATCTATTCCCATTTCTTATATTTGCAATTGATTATTTTTTATATTATGTTGCAAATAACAAAATGAGGGGAATTTGCCTTTGAATGGGATTTACATATTTTTTGGTCGTTGCGAGATTATTGATTGAGTTTTAGAGATGAATAGCGTGTGTATATAATTGTTTACAGTTTCTGTACACAGACATTTTAAGCGAATGCTTCCTGAAACATTATGGGGGTGTTTGGAAGTACTTCTTAATTTATTAAGAGCGTATAGAAATTAGCTTGATTATCTTTTGGACACATTACAAGCTATTTTCCTAAACTCCTCTAGAACATTAGGTTTTTTTAAACCCTTAGATTGGGTTGAACTAATGTGTGTATTGTTCTGTCTTGATAAGTGATGGGCTTCTCATGAACTTACAAACATCTGAAGTAGCTATCACCTATAGGTTTTATGGCCTTTGTTAGAATCACAATTGTCTAGTGTTGGAAGGGGGTGAAAGGCCATTAGATGGTTAGTTAGTTAGTTAAGGAAGATTTTGAATGGTTTGTGATAATGTATGATTTAAGATGGGAAAATATAACATGTTTTTATATTTGATCTTGAATCCATTTGGTGCGAAGAGACTTTGGACATTGTTGTTTTATTATAACTTGTTTAGTTTGTTGGTTTATTTGTCTTGAACTTGTGGAATTCAATGTCCTTGTCAACATGTTGCAATCTTGAGAAATTGTTGTGTATTTGGTGCCGTGTTAGGATGTATATAAAGTTGTGTAGATTTCATATTGGCAAACTTTGTGTAATATGGGTCTCTTGCATTGCTAATGAAATTATTAGCTGCTCTTGGCCGAGTAAAGGCTTAGCCCGGAGTACCATAACTGCATGTTTGCTTATCAATTTGTTATCACCAATTTGCCATGATGATTTTATTTTTATTTGTGTTAATAACTTGAAAAGTTTGGTGAATGGTTTTTCCATGTTATTTTGCAACTTAGTTCCCCTGGCATGATAGATCATCTTAGTCAATATGTGTTCATTGTTGTTAAGTTAATGTTAATGTTGGTATTTGAGATTATGTTGTTGTGTTTTAATCAAACTATTGCTTTGCAGGAAAAACGAGGAGCAGAAGCCTAAAGAACAAAGATTCAAAGCCAATGAGAACAAGCCTGTTATGACAGAGTGATGACAGCAATGGTCCATTCCGTTGTAGAATGAAATAGGTAGTTTGTTGTTTTACTGGTTCTATAAAATGTAAGAGATATTTTTTGTTGTTTTTTGATGATATACATGGCGTGGTGACTTTAGATCATGTTATTGTAATGGTTTGATTTTGGTTATGATTTTGGTTATGATTTCCATGAACCTGTGGTAATGTATTGACTTAATGCAATGAAGGTACTTGTCTAAAAGCTTATTATGAGCCAGCCTAATGTAAACAAGGTCTTTCTGAGCTTATTGAGCCAAAAATAATTTTGGGCTCTGATTTTATTTGTCAGCACTCTTATATCCAGTCTATTAAACCCAGTAGTTGCTAAAATTTTAAGTTACAAGTTTTAGGTGTTTTAATTCTTCTTTTACAGTCTCTTATGATTTTATGATTTTAATTCCTAAGATCACTTCACCTAAGTTTTTCATATCATTTTTTGAACAATTTTTCAAGTCTTGTCTACCTGTTTTTAATCTGTATCAAAAATAAAATATATGATTGTCAACAAGTCTTAGCTCAATTGGTAGAAACCGATAATCATACATTGGATACCACCATCACCAGGGGTTTGAATCCTGATTGTGTGAATTTCTGGTGGGTATTACTACTTAGTTTACAGTCCAAAATTAAAACATATCATTCACATATAAACAAATAAATATTTCATAACACCGGTTACTTTTTGAAAATTTTTATAAATACATTTTGTCTCCTTCATTTATTTTGCATGATAACTTGGTCAAACTATTTATTGGAAACAAATTGAGTACAAAGTCTAGTACTTTTTTTTTACCAAAGTTAATCTAGGCGAAAGTTAGTTTGTTTTGTTTTTTTTTTTTTAAATAATTTTTGTAGAGTAAAATTTATAAAAGAAATTTTTCATAAAGATTCAAATGAAAAATTGATTATTTTTAAAATGTTATTTTAGATATTTATTAAACAAAATTTTGGATTTAACAAATTTTTTTTCAACTATGTTTTGGTTGTTAATAATGTATGATTATCAACAATGTATGTTTACATAATGAGAAAATAGGAGTATAAAAAAATTTGTAATATTTTAAAACAATTTTATAAAATCTATTTTTAAAAATACAAAGAAAAAAAATTATTTTTTGGTAAGCTCAAATAAACATTCTCTTACTCTATAGTGATAACTACCAAATAAGGAACTTAACGAATTTTTCCTTATCACTCATCTCATTATCAACATATTGGCCTCTACTCTTTTTCTAATAAATAATCAAGAAAAGGTAGAAATAACATTTCACACTTTCTCATTTTCCATTTGAAAGAATAATATTTGTCTTGTTACTATAATAACAACTTTTACAAGAACAATGAAAAATGAACCTCAATGAACAATGCAAGAATCATTTGTTACATTGTTGCTTAGTTAAATTTTTGTCATGTTGAGAACAACTCCCTGACCAGGTTCTATAACCAACCGAAAGGCCGGCAAATGCCAGTAACTTGATGAAAGAGAGAACCGAAACTTAGACAGAATGAGAGACAAAAGCACCTTCAATTCTATCATGGCCAAATGCTGTCCAGGACAGACGCGGGCACCGATTCCAAATGGCATATAAGCTTGTGGAATTTTGCAGGATCCAAGCACGCCAGTCGCAAATCTTTCTGGATTGAACTCGTGCGCATCAGGCCCCCATATATCAATGTCATGTAGCAACATTGAGATCGGAATCTGCATATTCATTTCTTTTTCGGAACTTTGATACCTTTTATATTGACATCTTGGAAAGCTGTTATGGTAACAAATACTGCTGGAGAATAAAGCCTCAATGTCTTGAATCACCATCGTTAACTGCAAGTATTGCAACATTTTTTCAAAAGTACTTTTACTTGACACATAACAAACATACTTGCGGAAAACATACCGTTTTCATGCTTTTAAGTATACTGGCGTCTATATTACCATTTTCGCAAACTTCAAGCACCTCTGCACGAGCACGATCTTGCCAATCTTGGTATGTAGCTAACAACATTAAGCACCAAGATGCTGTAATTGCAGTAGTTTCATGTCCAGCAAAGAATATTGTTTTGCAGTTATCTATAATGAACCTGTCTCGTGAAATTGAGTTTGATAAAAAGCCATCACTTCCCTCACAACTCTTTGCACCTACGAGTATCAATTTGCAAGAAATCTTGCTCATGACCTTCCTCTTGGCATCGTTTTACGAGGTTTGATATATTTGAGTTGATCTCTTTCTCTAATCTCCATATCTGTCTATTACTCTTGTTTGGAAAATATCTAAAACAAATTATGATAACATTTTCCACATTAGTCTCATCTCATATCATATCTAACAAGAACAATAAAATGTCTCAAACGATTCATGACAGAGGCATACCTAAATTCTGGAATTCCAACAGATATCTTAGAGAGAAGTTTCTGAAGATCTCTAAGCTTTCTGAATATTTCCTTTCCTTGTGCATAATTGCTCCCAAAAGAAGCTCTAGAAATTATGTCAGCAGACAAGCTTCGCAGATCTTCATCAATTTTAATCTCCGAAACAACTCCGTCTGGTTCTATTTGTCGCATCGCTGCGAAGAGGGTCCGACAAAGACAGAAGAGTCGCCACCGTTCGTTATTTATCCCAAAGAGAGGGAAAGAAAACGATCAGAGAAAACCTACGAAAAGGGAGAAGACAGGTCATCGCAACCAAGTCTCGGGTTCGGGAGTCGGTTACACAAGAGGAAGGTTTGAGCACCCCTCACGTCTATTGTACTCAACGGGACCCACGCTTGTTGTCTAAGTCTATGGGTGAAAAAAACTAACTAAAGCTGCCACTGCTAACGGAAAGAACTGACTCGATAGGAAATCGCCGCCCTATGCCTACGTATTCTCTCGTGCAATGGGAAAGTCAGAGTCAACGTAGTCCGGAAACTACAGGGGATGTTGCTCGCCAAGACATCGCGTCTTGTGCCTACGTATCCTCATATGGTATGAGAAATCAGAGCAAAACGTAGTTCAGGCAACTACGGGAAAAACGGGGTGTTCTCGATCGCACGGGGGCGAGAGAAAAGGTTCGGGTAGACGATACTAGCTTACGCATTCTAGCAGTTAAGTGTATTGCTGCTCGACTATTAGAGACTTAGGCGTTACCTGTTTGCGGTAGAACGGACGTAGCATGTCCACAGGTTAAAAGGTACGAGGAACCTAAAGGGGAGAGGGAAAAGTGCTCGCTAGGATTATCACAATCCTATGCCCATGTACTCTCAACAGATATGAGAGATCAGAGCAGCCGTCGTTCAGCTAACTACGAAAAACGGTCTCGATCGCATGGGGGTGAGAGAAAAAGGGATCTCAATCGCACGGAGGCGAGAGAAAAGGGAAGTTAGTGGTTAAATGCTCTCCAAGACATCACGTCTTGTGCCTACATATTCACATCGAGCATGAGAAATCAGAGCAGTTGTATTACAGCCAACCACGGAAAACGATCTCTATAGCACGGGGGCGAGAGAAAAGGGGATCTCGATCGCACAGAGGTGAGAGAAAAGGGAAGTTAGTGGTTAATGTGCTAGCCAACACATCGCGTCTTGTGCCTATATATTCTCATCGGGCATGAGAAATTAGAGTAGCTGTAGTTCATCCAACTATAGAAAAACGGGTCTCGATCGCACGGGGGCGAGAGAAAAAAGGATCTCAATTGCACGAAGGCGAGATAAAAGGGATATCTCAATCACACGGGGGCGAGAGAAAGGAATCTCGATCGCACGGAGGCGAGAGAAAGGAATCTCGATCGCACGGAAGCGAGAGAAAAGAATCGGATCGGGACGCACACGCTAAGTCCTAAGACGTAGGAGCGAATGCGTCACATATTTCCCAAAGGGCATACGCTAAACACTCTAGATGAGCAAGAAGAGGCTCCCCACTCATCATTTCCCATGTATCTATCTCTTACGGCTCACAACACTCGGCGGTTGATTAACAGATTGAAATTAGTAAATGTTACCGAACGGAGTGGTCCCGTTGACCCTTTACATTGCGTGCAAGCTCATTTCCAAGCTTCTCCTCTTTGATCCTTGATGATGATGTTTCGAAATACGGCTCGAAAGGGTCAAAGTGAATTGAATCGGGTCTAATGTGATGCTAATCCTTTATAGCTCGACTTATAAGGGAAACCAAACTATAGGAGGTTGCGTATTGATATTCGTGCTATAGACAAGATAGAGAAATGATATTGAGAATCATTCTCCGATTTAATCGTGTCGCACGGAACAAAAAACAGTGGGATCTCGTCTTAATCGCAAACATAATATCAATTAATCGAAGGTAGCCTATCGCGATCCCAAAGTAAAGAAAATGACCCAAATGGTCATCTTCCATAGATTTGAAATCGGGAAGGTTATCGACTTCGAAAATCTGACGCTTACGGATACAAGACTTCATCGATCCAAGAAAGTCAAAATAAAATCGAAAGAAGAAGAAAAATGAGGAGAGAAAGAAGTGGTTTCGGGTCCAACATTATTCATCAATAACTTAACTGGTAATGAATTACGGAAATGTCGTCATCGACCCAAAAGGCAAAAATAGAACAAAATGCCCAATAACAAAAGAGAAATAAAATCCAGCTTCTAAAAGAAAAATAAAATATTCTAAAAATTCTAAAAGAAATAATAATAAAATAAAACTCTAATATAAACTAGGAAAATTATATTAACAAACCTTTTTCAAAAACTATATACAATACGGCTCGCAACGGGATCCACGCTTGTTGTCTAAGTCTATGGGTGAAAAAAAACTAACTAAGGCTGCCACTGCTAACGGAAAGAACTGACTCGATAGGAAATCGCCGCCCTATGCCTACGTATTCCCTCGTGCAATGGGAAAGTCAGAGTCAACGTAGTCCGGAAACTACAGGGGATGTTGCTCGCCAAGACATCGCGTCTTGTGCCTACGTATCCTCATATGGTATGAGAAATCAGAGCAAAACGTAGTTCAGGCAACTACGAGAAAAACGGGGTGTTCTCGATCGCACGGGGGCGAGAGAAAAGGTTTGGGTAGACGATACTAGCTTACGCATTCTAGCAGTTAAGTGTATTGCTGCTCGACTATTAGAGACTTAGGCGTTACCTGTTTGCGGTAGAACGGACGTAGCATGTCCACAGGTTAAAAGGTACGAGGAACCTAAAGGGGAGAGGGAAAATTGCTCGCTAGGATTATCACAATCCTATGCCCATGTACTCTCAATAGATATGAGAGATCAGAGCAGCCGTCGTTCAGCTAACTACGAAAAACAGTCTCGATCGCATGTGGGTGAGAGAAAAAAGGATCTCAATCGCACGGAGGCGAGAGAAAAGGGAAGTTAGTGGTTAAATGCTCTCTAAGACATCACGTCTTGTGCCTACATATTCTCATCGGGCATGAGAGATCAGAGCAGCTGTATTTCAGCCAACTACGGAAAACGATCTCTATAGCACGGGGGCGAGAGAAAAGGGGATCTCGATCGCACAGAGGTGAGAGAAAAGGGAATTTAGTGGTTAATGTGCTAGCCAACACATCGCGTCTTGTGCCTATATATTCTCATCGGGCATGAGAAATTAGAGTAGCTGTAGTTCATCCAACTATAGAAAAACGGGTCTCGATCGCACGGGGGCGAGAGAAAAAAAGATCTCAATTGCACGAAGGCGAGATAAAAGGGATATCTCAATCACACGGGGGCGTGAGAAAGGAATCTCGATCGCACGGAGGCGAGAGAAAGGAATCTCGATCGCACGGAAGCGAGAGAAAAGAATCGGATCGGGACGCTTACGCTAAGTCCTAAGACGTAGGAGTGAATGCGTCACATATTTCCCAAAGGGCATACGCTAAACACTCTAGATGAGCAAGAAGAGGCTCCCCACTCATCATTTCCCATGTATCTATCGCTTACGGCTCACAACACTCGGCGGTTGATTAACAGATTGAAATTAGTAAATGTTACCGAACGGAGTGGTCCCGTTGACCCTTTACATTGCGTGCAAGCTCATTTCCAAGCTTCTCCTCTTTGATCCTTGATGATGATGTTTCAAAATACGGCTCGAAAGGGTCAAAGTGAATTGAATCGGGTCTAATGTGATGCTAATCCTTTGTAGCTCGACTTATAAGGGAAACCAAACTATAGGAGGTTGCGTATTGATATTCGTGCTATAGACAAGATAGAGAAATGATATTGAGAATCATTCTCCGATTTAATCGTGTCGCACGGACCAAAAAACAGTGGGATCTCGTCTTAATCGCAAACATAATATCAATTAATCGAAGGTAGCCTATCGCGATCCCAAAGTAAAGAAAATGACCCAAATGGTCATCTTCCATAGATTTGAAATCGGGAAGGTTATCGACTTCGAAAATCTGACGCTTACGGATACAAGACTTCATCGATCCAAGAAAGTCAAAATAAAATCGAAAGAAGAAGAAAAATGAGGAGAGAAAGAAGTGGTTTCGGGTCCAACATTATTCATCAATAACTTAACTGGTAATGAATTACGGAAATGTCGTCATCGACCCAAAAGGCAAAAATAGAACAAAATGCCCAATAACAAAAGAGAAATAAAATCCAGCTTCTAAAAGAAAAATAAAATATTCTAAAAATTCTAAAAGAAATAATAATAAAATAAAACTCTAATATAAACTAGGAAAATTATATTAACAAACCTTTTTCAAAAACTAAATACAATACGGCTCGCAACGGGATCCACGCTTGTTGTCTAAGTCTATGGGTGAAAAAAAACTAACTAAGGCTGCCACTGCTAACGGAAAGAACTGACTCGATAGGAAATCGCCGCCCTACGCCTACGTATTCCCTCGTGCAATGGGAAAGTCAGAGTCAACGTAGTCCGGAAACTACAGGGGATGTTGCTCGCCAAGACATCGCGTCTTGTGCCTACATATCCTCATATGGTATGAGAAATCAGAGAAAAACGTAGTTCAGGCAACTACGAGAAAAACGGGGTGTTCTCGATCGCGCGGGGGCGAGAGAAAAGGTTCGGGTAGACGATACTAGCTTACGCATTCTAGCAGTTAAGTGTATTGCTGCTCGACTATTAGAGACTTAGGCGTTACCTGTTTGCGGTAGAACGGACGTAGCATGTCCACAGGTTAAAAGGTACGAGGAACCTAAAGGGGAGAGGGAAAAGTGCTCGCTAGGATTATCACAATCCTATGCCC